CTCTCTCTCTCTCTCTCTCTCTCTCTCTCTCTCTCTCTCTCTCTCTCTCTCTCTCTCTCTCTCTCTCTCTCTCTCTCTCTCTCGCTCGCTCGCGCCCGCTCGTTGGTTGTAATACTCACGTGCTTGTTTACTTTCTCTTTTGCTTGTACGTGCATCTCCATTCGCTACCATCTGTCTGTGGGGACATGGAGACACGTATACATAAAGGGAACTATCTTTTTCGAAGAGGGAATGTATGTTGATGAGCAGCTGGAAACACCGGCAGCTGGCATCAGATTATCTGATATAGATCCCCAGGCTGTTCAAGGCTCTCCCTTGTTCTTTCGTTTTTTTTCCCTGTTCACATACCACTGGTTCTTGCTGGTCCTGTACAATGAGGTAGTGATGGTGGCATCCATTATCAAGCAGCTGGATTTGATATGAGCAGATGGGTGTCTTTCATCGATATCTCTGTCATGTATGTGCTCATGACTGCTTGTGCCATTTGCGATGTGCAGGTTCACGCAGCCCGGTTGAAGGGCACGGGACGAGATGTGGTGATCAAAGTGCTGAAGCCCGGCGTGGAGGACACCCTCACGGCGGATTTAAATTTTATCTACATTGCAGCCCGTATAATTGAGTTCTTATCCCCACAAATAGCAAAGGGTACATCCATGGTAGGTGGAGTGCATTTATCTGTTACACGATCTTCTTAGTAAGGTGTGCGCGGATTCATATGGAGTCCACTGCGTGTCTGTGAGGGTTAAATTCCTGGTGCTCAATGGGCCTGTCAGCGGGACCTGCCACCACTGAGTGACACTGAAACCACCACTAACTGGGAGGGCCTCTTTTCTCCCAACGTATTGAAGGCAATAGACGCAGATGGCTCCATGCTGGACCACCAGAAACCAGTATGGTACCTGACCGTGTTAGGACCACCAGAAACCAGTATGGTACCTGGCCTCGTTAGGCTCAGCAGGTCAGGCCTGGATGCGGAGGTTGTTGAACTTGCGGCTTTGGACTGTCATGACAGGACCGTCACACCATGGGTCACTCTATTATGAATAACTCTCTCTCTCCCTCCTCACTGGTGGCAGCAAGGAAGCATGCCACACGACTCTTGCGCAAAGCACACAGCTACACATAGCAAGGCATAATACCAGCAAGAGATCCAGAACCCCACCGATAGCTGAAATTGCGAGGACTGTTAAGCATGGATTGGCAGCAGGAATACATTGCTTCGTTTATTCTGACTGAACCCCAAGGGGTCATGACCTATTGCGTATGCCCAATCAGCAGGCGAGCCGATGAACGCGAGGGTTGAAGGGCCAACTATGATCAAATGCAGCGAGTTGCTGAGATGCAGCTGCTCTCTGAGGCCAGCGTTGATCCCGCACGCTTGGATGCTTCCGGAAACTGTGCCTGAGCCATTGCTGACAGAACCTCTGAGCGAGGGCAAACCCTGCCTGTTGATTTTCCCAGGGCCAGAGAACTCGTTTCCAGGCCCTGTATGTCGGGAAGGTCTTATGTGATCTCAGTTCCACCGGTCTGAGGACTTTTTCAGAGAGGTTTGGGCGGATGATGAATTCAGTATTGAAAATGATTATCGAGGAGGCTTGATTTCATTTATTGTGGATTTTTATTTGTTTTGTTTTCATTTATTGACTTCTTATTGTTTCTCAGAAGAATCTGTTTCTTAATTAGCTAAAGAACCCATTCCAAGAAACATGAGCAAGAGCGATAGACAGAAAACCAATTGCAATATCACGATGTAGACCAGATAGTAGTGTACCAAGCAGAAAATAACAATAATACCAGCCAAATAAGAGCAATATAATGAACTCAAATGTCAATGTCGACACCCAATGTCGCTCATCTTGATTGGCGCTCAGCGCCCAGCCTATCCTACTCAGCCTATACTAGCCTACACTACATATATGCAAGAGGAGTCAATTCAAACTGAAGACCAATGTACGTGATGATGTAGCCAGTGCAGACAGCCGGCATACGCTAGGTACGTCTCTCCTCTCCCCTCATCACACTCTGTCTCCCCACTGCATGCGCCTCCTCTCCCGAAGACCGCCATCGCCCACATCAGCCTCCACACACACAGCCCGGCTTTGGCCGCCGTGCGGCCGCTGCCACTGCAGCGCCCCTCTCACCTTGTGCGCCCATGTGCGCTCGCTGGCCAGTGCATGCCTAGCATGCCCGCGCGACAAAGCAGCAGCGTGGCCGCCTTGCCTGCTCAGGCCAGAATGTCCTCTGGCTGGGCGCAGGTCTGGGCTTAGTGGGTGTGTGCCCATTAGCTTCACGTTGGGCCCACGCCCATTCCGACAATTGCCTGGGCCCACAGCAGTGGAGTTGCACAACTGCGCAATGTGGCTGCTGTCGCACGCTGCTTCCTCATTGGCCAACGGCGGCCCAGCCACGTTGCAACCTGTATTCTCACCGGCCGAGAGCCTCTAGCCACCTCACTGCTGGAGTGAGCCCAGAGGCTCTGCCTATTGTGCTCTTACCAGCAGTGCTTTGTAATCAACTGGCGCGTGGTAACTGTTTGGCGCCCAACAATGCAGAAATGACAAAAATGGGCCCCCGAATCGATATCAGGCCCACCTTCACTTAGGGTGGGCACGTTGCTTGCTGGGGGCCCCTTGGGCATGTGGAGGCCGCGACCGAGCAGCCAATGTGATGGCTCGTTCCTTGCACTCCATCCCGCTTAGCTTCAAAAGTCCGCCGAGATGCTTCCACGCAGGTGCTTTCCCCTTCAATTTCCATTCATACTCTGCAACGACCTGAGGTGCTGTCTTGATCAGCTCCTCTTTTGTGAACCATCGGTCTTCCTTTGGATCCGATAGGATGCCTGAATCTAACCCGGTATTCCCTTGTCTTCCCCTGCCCACAGGCTTGGGAACAGGAAGATCTCTATGTTCCAGGATGTCATCGACATCCACATTACCATCCATGGCTGGGGGGAGCATTGATCTCCTTGATGGGAACTTCAGTCTCAGCGAAAGGGGCAAGCTTGGAAGCCTGGAAGACAGGGTAAGTGTGCAGGTGACCTGGGATTCTAATCACGTAGGAGGGACCATCCGGATCACTACCCACAATATCCAAGGACCAAAATACTGAGGCATTAGCTTTCTTGAGATGCCGAACTCCTGTCCTAACTCACTAGCCTTTACCCAGACTCGTTCTCCTACCTGAAATGTGGACTGTCGTCTATGTCTGTTCTCAGAGGCAATCATAGCCTGCTGAGCTTTCTTGATATGGTCAACAGCCTGCTGCAACAGCTTCTCGTACTGGACACCAAATTCAATGGTTCCAGGGGTTGCAGCCGGTCAGTTTTCAGGAAGGAGAAAGTCAAGTGTTGATCTAGACTTTCACCCCAAGTGCAGCTCATTCGGAGAGACACCGGTGGTGTTGTGAACTGAATTGTCGTACAGGCTGACGATGAGAGGTAACTTCTCATCCCAGTCATCCTGGCTGGGATTGATGTAATGCCTTAGCAAGTGCTGTACCACGAGGTTCATCTGCTCCGCCTGGCCGTTGTCTTCGGGATGATTCCCTGAAGTCATTTGGAGTTGGCTGCCCATCTGTTCAGCCGCCACATCTCACTGGTGAAACAAACATCTCTATCGCTAACTATGGACTTGGGCAGTCCAAAATCATGCACCCAGTTATCCATGAATAACTTGATGATGTGCTCAGTCGTTGCAGTTTCTGGCATGGGAACCAGTCTACCGTACTTGGTGAACCGGTCCACTATGACAAAGATATGTCTCTTGCCACTCTTGCTGGTCACGAGGGTGTCCATGAACTCCATGGAGACACTCGAAGTCCATGGAGACACTCTGTCACGGACCAGCGGGTATAGGCAAGGGCTTGATTAACCCAAACGATGCTTGTGTTCTCGGCTTGTACCGGTGGAAGACTTGACAATTCTGTACATAATTCTTCGCTTCATCAAGCGTAGACGACCATCAAATCGTTGTACCAGGCTAGCACTAGTCTTCTTGTACCCGAAATGTCCCGTTGCATTGTGACACTCTCCTAGAAACAAACTACGCAAAGACTCTCTAGACGACACACAATGTCTTGAACCCTGCCTTCTCAAGAAAGAGCAACCAATCCACCATTACAAACTCGTCGGATGTGGCCTTGTCTCGGGCCTCAAGCTTGCGTATGATGTCCATCGTGGCAGGGTCTTCTTTGTAGGCATTCACCGTCGATTGAGTTAGCTCATCGGATAAACCAAATTCAGTAATTGGCACACCTAGGTATGAGAGTGTATCAACAACCTTATTGTACTCTCCCTTCACATAATCTAGCTTGAAGTCATATTGATTTATAACTTCAATCAAGCGTTTGAGAGCATCGACTAGAACCGGTTGCGTCCTTATCCACTTGAGCGTTTGATGTTTGGTCCTCAAATAAAATAACCTGCCCAAAATATAATGTCTCCAGTGAATCAAGGCTTTGTGCGGTGAATAGATTTCCCTCTAGGCTTTGTACAGTGCATAAAGTTCCCTCTCGTAGGTGGGCTTTGCTAATTTCTTGGAAGACATTTTTTTGCTCATGTACTCGACCAGCCTCAACTTTATCGCACTCCTGCTGAGCCAGCACTGCACCAATGCCATATTGACTTGCGTCAGTGGTTACAATGAATGGCTTCTTAGGATCGGGGAGCATGAGGACCTCATGATGCATGAGACCACGTTTCAATCGCTTGAAGGCCCTCTCACAATCATTGGTCCATCCCCAAGGGGTGTCAAGGCGTGTTACATTCGACAAGGGGGCAACCACCGTATTGTAGTTCTTTACAAACTTGTGGTAGTAGCCTGTCATCCCCAAGAAGGATCTGACCTTCGTGAGAGACTAAGGTGGTGGCCAGTCACCTCCGCATCTTCTGGCCTAACACCATCATTGGATACTTCATGACCCAAGTATTAGATCTAGGTGTGACTGAAGTCACATTTCTCCAAGTTAATCTTATACTCGTGATGCTGCACGAGTCCAAGCACAAGGTTTGCATACTGCACATGCTCCTGGACAGACTTACAAAGGATAAGAATGTCATCAAGGTACACGACGATAAACTTATCTAAGTAGTTGTGAAATATCATGTTTATGGCGTGTTGGATAAACTCGGCGCATCGCAAATGCCGAAAGACACCACCACAATCTCGTACAGATCGTATCTGGTCTGAAAAGCGGTTTTGTGTTGATCCTCAGGTCTAATGGCAATCTGAGGCTAGCCGGATTTTAAATCTATCTTACTGAAACAGCCACAACCCTGCATCCTATCCAGTAGGTCGTCAATGTGGGGTAGAGGCTCTGTGTTCTTAAAGGTGATGGCATGAAGGTGTCTATAATCAATGCACATAATCAATGCACATCCTTAGTGATCCCCTTTCTTCGGCGCAAATAAGATTGTTAATCCGTTGGGAGATGTACTAGGTTGTATCCGACCCTTCTTGTGAGCTCTTTCAGTTGTCGTCGAAGTTCGTCCAACTCGGTTGGAGCCATCCTATAAATCCTCCCCTTTAGTGTTTTACTGCCTAGGATGATTTCTATGGCATGAACTGCCTCCCTATCTACAACACCCGAAGGCTCCTCACACAGATCAGGACTTCAATCCTTGGGAGTGATTTAATGGTCGGCCCTTTCTCAGAGACAA